TCACAATTTTCACATTTGAGCCGTTGAAAATCCACATGCTGCCAGACCATCATCATTATAACATCGTTTTAGCGTTGACATGTGGTCTGGTGTTTTGAATGGCGAATTAATAGGCGCATTTGAACTGCCATCGAGATTAGATGGCGACACATACAAAAGTTTTTTAGAAAACAATCTACCCACATTACTGGAAGATGTAAATTTGAATTAAGAAGAACGATGGTGTTCCAGAACGACGGGGCGCCGTGTCATTACGCGACACAAGTGCGTCGCCATTTAGACCAGACCTACCCCAACAGGTGGATCGGACAACGAGGGCTTGCCTGGCCACCACGCTCGCTTGACCTCATCCCTATTGTTGAGTATGAGTATATGTATCTGGGGCTACTGTAAAGAAATTACGTACGCCAGAGAAGCTTCGAGTGAAGAAGAACTGAGAGCAAAAATTCGCGAAGCTGAAACCACTGTGTAAAATAACCGTGAAGCTTTTAGGCACCTAAAACATATTTTTTTGCGCAGATGCGCGTAGATGAAAATTTGCTTTAAATAAATGTATTTTGTTCACAATTAACTGCGTTTTACTCAAATCCATCATAACTCATAGAAAGTCAAAGATTTAAATAAAATAAAATAATTCCTATGAAAATGCCTTATTTTACTATGAAGGTCAATTAAAAAAAAATAAACCCCCATTAACCCTTTCTTTATTTGGCCTTGTTTGAAAGTTTAATGTCTCAGGAAGTTTCTAAAAGCACTTTGAACTCCAAATCCCCCATTTACATTTTTTTTGATACTTTGAAAATTTGTGTGTACTGAGCTCTAATCGTAATTTTGAACTTTCGAACAAATTCTAAGTGAATTCTGCAATGCGTGTCCGTAATGCTAGCGTACCCACGATCATACGGTTTTTCGTTATGCCATTAAATACTGCATAAAATACTTTTACTATTAGTGGCACTATTTGACACACTATTTATACATATAGAATTGATAACGAGAAAAGTTCATTTTCTATGAGAACTATTATGGGTACGCCAGGTTGACGCCAGCTAAGAATGTTTAGTTCAATATCTTTGGTCCTTTAAGAGTATTGATTATGAAATTTTGTAAAGCCAGGGCACTATTTGGGAACTATTTTTGTGTGTCAATTTCGTTGCTTAAATATATGCCGTTCTTGGGGTCGGCCATGGGTACGCTAGCTTGACGTCATGGTAGCGTACACAGTAAAAATGGTCTTTATTTCTTAAATTAAAGAGGCACTATTTTTTTTATTTTTACACTAATTTGGCACTATTTACGCAGTATTTAATGGCATAACGAAAAACTGTATATTGATCGTGGGTACGCTAGCATCACGGACACCTGCAATGCCTAGATAAACTATAAGTTTTAGGGTGATAGGTTAGACTATGTTAGTCAGTTATTACAAAAAAACTGAAACAGAAACGTCCAACAGAATGAGAAAAAAATCGAAAACGGATGTTAGGTGAAAATTACGAAAATATCATTAAAAAAATTATAATTCGAAAACTACGCTAAATCGTAGAACATACATGGGGGTGATTTGGATACTCCTCATCATACAGTATCTTAATTTTACGCTTGAACGTCAACTCCCCGGCCACCCTGTATATAGTCGAAAGCATCTGCCAATTTTTAATGTGGAGTGCTAGTCTGCCAATTTTTAATGTGGAGGGCTGCCTTCACATCATGCTTAGACTTGGAACCATCAGTGTATAGTTTGCGATGTTCTTTTCTCTCAGTATTATTTATGAAATTTAAAAATTCTTCATTGTTTGTAATTTAAATGTCATTGCATATCAGTGGTTTGACCATAATGTACCTCTGATGAGCCATAATTCGACTTATCCGTCTTATAAACATTTTAGATAGTTCTTTTAGTTATTTTTTATTATTTTCTAAATGGATATTATTGTTTAGGTACATATTGCTTTATTCAACGTTACTTTACATTTATAAAAAGAATTTCCACAGCTAAATATTTGGCCCTAATAGGTATCGGTGGTATACTAGATTCTATTTCTGAACATTGATAAGGGCATAAGAATTATTATTGGAGTAACGCACACATTACTCCAGTAATAAGTCTTATGCCTTTATTTTGTACAACTCCTAATTTTCTAATTATACTATTATTAACAAATTTACTGTAAACAATAAGTTCATATTCATAAGGGATTCTAACTAAAGCTACAAAAATCATATAAAGTATTTTAGGATCCATTCCCCAGCTGAGACGAGCAAGACATTTTAAAATATTTACACGTTTTTTTTCTTTGTTGTGGCAAACACGTTTTTGCTTCGATTAAAACAAAACGTGCTAAATACTTCAAGAAACATCACAATGCGTCACACCGATATTCTAATGTAAAAAAAGCAACCTGAAATTAGGCAGTATGGGCATTGTTCCCTTTGCCTTCTTTGAAAAGGGAAAATCTTTAAAAAAGAATTACCGAGCACCTATATTAGTTTGAATCGGATGAATGTTTTAAACCGATTAGTCAGCTAAATTACTCGGTTTTAGGCTTGTTGAAATTGGTTTATATTTATATATCGGTAGAATGACATGGATACACTGTTGCGAAATTTAAGTTTAGGTTTAGAGAATCATATCAGGATCGATACCACTATAATTATATTATTATTTGTATGATATCATATTTCTTAATCTAATGATATTAAGAATAAAACAATTATTTAAATTAATTTAATTACTTAAAGATTCTGTTAAAGGGCCGATGTTTTCGAGTTAAATATGGTATTATATTTGATTGTTATAAACTTGAAAAGGTTTTCGTAACTTTAATATAAGTTAGACCATGATGTTATCATATAGTTTTGTAAAATATAAATCTACACCCTTAAATAACCAATTCGATAAATTTTATGACTAAATGCGCGTCTCTAATGACAATATAGAACCAAAATTATTTCTTTCAAATTAAGAACTAATTTCGAAGTCAGATTAAGAAACTTTATGAACGCACAATCGTCAAAACTGTGATTGTTATAGTACTCACGTTTAACTTGATTTTATAAGGTTATTTATTAGATTTGTTTATTTTATTTTAGCACATTAGAATATCCACACTGATTGTCACAATTTTTCACTAGACTGTCATATTTTGAATTAACATTTTATTTTTATAGAAACATGACAGTTTATAGACAGGACTAACTTCTTAGCCAGCCTGTAACATTCCCTCCGAATGTTAGCCCTGCAAGCCCATCATAGAACATAACTCTTCGTGTTTGAGCTTGGGTAGAGCCTTTGTGGGAATATCCGCTGCTTGCTCAAGGGTGGTAACTTTTTCTACATGCACTTCTTCACTTAAGACAACCTCGCGCAAAGAAGTAACGGATCCTGATGTGTTTCGTCCGTTTGTGGAATTCAGGGTTGTGAGCTAGTTTCACAGCAGCTTCATTATCGACCCTGAGAGCTGGTGTGGGCATTGGAATACTTATCAGTTGGGAGAAGACTCTCTTCAACCACACGAGTTCTCTAGCTGCTTCACTTGCTGCAACTATTTCAGCTTCAGTCGTTGATATCGCTACGGTTTGTTGTCTCTGGCTGATCCAGCTGATGGATCCTCCAGCATAACAACACAGAACACCCGTAGTGTAACGTCCAGTCTGGGTGCAACCACCATGGTCTGCATCACTGAAAGCTTCCAAAGCTTGAGAAGTTCCTGCTCTGTAGATAATTCCACGGTTTACCGTTCCTTTAAGGTATCTGAAAATTCGCTTTACTCGTAGCCAGTCTTCAGTTGTGGGACTTTCGAGCTTCCTGGACGCTACTCCAACGGCATAGGCTATATCGGGTCGAGTGCTTACCTGAGGTAGGCGAGAGCTCCAACTGCCTCTCTGTAAGGGAAGTATCCAATTTCGGTGCAGTTTCCTTCTTCTCTTACTATTGACGTAGAGATGGAATTGCAGTTCTGCATGTTGAATCTCTCCAAGACCTTCCTGGTGTATGTAGGTTGATTTATGATAATAGCACCATCATCCTTTCTAGTTATTTCCAAGGCCATATAATAAGTGGCTGGTTTGGTGATTTTAAGCCTTTTGCCTAAGTCCTGGAGAAAACGATTGGCTACTGCTTCGTTGGTAGCAGCTACGAGTCCGTCATCAACATACAGGATGATCAGTAGTTTGTCAGAGCCGTCCCGTCTCGAAAAAAGGCAAGGATCTACTTCTGCCTGTACAAATCCCATGTCAATGAGGATTTCTGCAAAGCAAATATTCCAACATCTCGGGGTTTGCTAAAGCATATAAGCTGCGATTCAACTTGCATACTTTTTGAGTTCCATCATTAAAACCATCTAGTTGTGACATATAGATCTCGTCTTGAAGTTTTTCATTGAGGAAAGCAGTGGCAACATCAAATTGAGTCAAGTGAAGTCGTTCCTGGGCAGCGACACTTAGCAGACTTCTTATTGTTGCCATTCTGGCCACAGGACTAAATGTTTCTACGTAGTCTACACCTTGCCTCTGTTTGAAGCCTTTAACGACTAATCGCGCTTTATACTTTTCAATGCTGCTATCCAGATTGTATTTTATTCTATAGATCCATTTGCATGGCAATGGTTTTCTTCCAGGAGGCAAGTCAGTTAATGTCCACACCTTATTTTCACGGAGGGGAATCAATTCGCTCTCCATAGCCTGCATCCACGATCCGCTGTCTTCACGCTTCAAAGCCTCTTTATATGTGCCGGGAAAATCGCAGTTAAAACAATCGACATGTGTGACGTAATCGCCGAGTTTGAAGTACAAACATACGAACAGTGCAAGTTAAATAAAAGCTTGTAAAAAATCCTTTTTGGGTGAAATTTCAGTAACAGTTTACCGGATAGTTTGTTATATTATGTCATTCCAGTTTTCCTTGCGATGTTCTGATCATTTAATTTAATCTTGGAAAAATCGCATTTACCTAATTAAAAAAATCGTACTCCTAAAAAATCGATTTGCATTGGGCATCCCTAAATCTGACATAATGGAGAAATTCACGGCCGTAAAACTTAAAAACAGTCCGGTAAAAAAGATCTATTGTGGTTGGTTTTTGAAAATATTTCAGATTTGTTTATCAGAATTTATGTATTTGAACCTACAATAAATCTAGAAACTAAACCTATTGAAATTGGTCTGCGTAGCTTTCTCTCCCCGTTGTTTTTGCTAGCAGCTCCCAATAGCTTCTGCGTGATCTTTGACCTTGTTTTGACAATGTATGAGAATGTTTTTACAATCTGCCTTCGACCGTTTTGTTGCCATGGACTGATAAGTTTACTGACTTTACTGATAAGTAAAACCGGACTTAGTTTATTTTAGTATTTTTCTAAGCGAACTGCTCGTTTTGTTGTTATTTGTTTCAAGTTTTCATGAAATTACAATGACTGATCTTCCTTTTGATACAATGATTCCAAATACACAGTTAGCAGAGGTAATTATAAATATCTTACTTTCATAATAGCTAGTAATTGTCATAAATACTATGAATAGCTGTTGTGATTAGGGAACACAAATTGAAGTTAACAGTGATTTTGATTATTACAGCAACAAGGATGATATTCTTAGTATTTCCTTTTGTAGATCTTGTTGATCAGTCTTACAAAGATGTCTTGTAAAGATATACCCATAATGAGTACTTATGGTAACTGCATTGAATCTCGGTACCAGTAATGCTTATTGCAAACCAGGTTACCGAGTTAACCAACTGTTTCTTTGCTATAAATAAAATGCTACAGCATTGTAATAAGTTTTTATATTTCAGAACTATTTTAAACAACACAATCATGTATTTTATGATGGTGATGAGGCTGTGAGGTTCACTTTGACAGATGGATTCAATACAATTGAGTCTAGGAAAGATGCTACGTGTTTATTAAAAAATATTGATGACAAAGATTGTAAAGGAAGAAAAGCTTCAGAGATACATCTTATAGATTTCAAACTAATGAAACTGAGAAAAGAATTAGAGATAAATGCTAATTTGTTTAGTCAGATTGAATTTTTAATTAGGAAAGTGCCTATTGATGATGTACTAAATTGTGATCTTAAATTGATCAGTCAAAATATACTGTATAACACTACAACAAGCTTCACAACTCCTATAAGTAAGAATATATATTTTTATTTGTATGTTTTTAATATTTTTTTTTATATTGTTTGGCATTAAGAGCAACTACCTCTTAAAGCTTAGAGCATTGTTTCGCAATTCTACAGAAAAAAACAGAAGTTAATAATTTTTCAGGTTGCTAGCAAACCAAATATTAGAGATAATGTCAAGTTCAGTTTACACCTGATAGAGTATGCAAGTAATATTAATGTTATAGATTGGAGGCCATTATCCACACTTAAATGATGTTAAGTAATAATGTTAATAATGTTCTTTAATTTGATCCAAATAAAACCAAAAGATATTTTTGTTATGCACACCAAAGTTTTAACTTGACTTGTTCCTTATTTTTATGATAGACTGTAGCTAGGGATAATTGGGGATAGAAACAATAACACTGAGTTCTAAGATATTCTAGCAGCAAGTCTATTATGCCATACATACTTGTTCTAATTAATTGAATAGTTGTTTATTAATAATATTGTGAAATGTGTGCATGAAATTTCTTATTATTAATTATTCATTAATAGTGGATGAATTGGTTTTCCATACAAACTTTCCCCCTTTTTCACCGTGCATTGCCTGTGGTACAGTTCAGATAGTCCAGGTGACTGGACCATGGTATTTTTTATACAGTAGTACAGTAAACTGGACTAGTGGTTAATTTTTCTTAATAATTGTACAGTAAGTTGACTACACAGGTGTATTTTTTTATATTACATAGTACAGGCGAGTGGGCAACTGTACCACTGTTAATTTATTATTTCAATATTACAGTTAACCGGACTAGTTAAATCTAGTTTTTATTTAATCAAAATTTAGCAAATTCGGTGCACTTTATGTAATGTAATCATTTCTTTTTGTTTATCATATCCTTAGCATCTAAATACATGGTACAGATTCAAATATTTTCATGCTATATTCCTGAGTTTAGCAGCTTGTTTGAACTTGGCAATTTTATTTTTAGAGAGTAGTGATTCCACATCTCTCTTTCTCTCTCTACAGTTGTATTGTTGTCCTTTTTTAGATAACAAATTAGTTAATGTTATTTTCTAAAGGTTTCCGTGTGATCAACAATATACAAGAACATACAAGATTGGATCGTAATTGTTCATTAACAAAGAAGTGAATCAGACTGGTGTTTTAATACATACATTTATTCCATTTTATTAAGTTGATTTTTTTGTTCTCCTTAAATCTGATATTCAAAATCCTGATTAAATTTTTATAAATTAAAAATAAGGCTTATTTCGTTTTCGGAAGAAAACATATTTATTCCATGGTTCTGATAGCAGGAAGGACTTACGAAAATTTATTTATTATATCAAAGTTTGGTTATCTGTATTACTGTAAAAAAAATTAACCATGGTCCAGTCAACCGGACTATCCCAGATGTACCACGGACAATGCACGCTTAAAGGATGATTTATAAGACATCTTATGACCTTTTCTTGCACTAAATGATCTCTGTACCAAATGTCAACAAAATCAGTTCAGCTGTTTAAGCGTTTCACACACACTTTAGCATTTATAATGGCTAATTTTAAATAAAGTATTATTCAACAATAAATAATTTAATTTGCAAAATTAGGCGGATTGCTTGTTTATGTGGCTAGTATATAGATCTAAGTCTAAGATATATTGTTATATAAAATTAAAATGGATTTAGTGTTTATACAAAAACTTATAAAGAAACCCCTTGATTTTTACTTCAATATTTCAGAGAGGTGTACGTGCATATTGATGGATAACTCCCCCTTAGCCCTTTTTGGCTCTGTGGTTCAAATATTGAGAAAATTCACTTCATGCATGATAATAGTTAGCAGATTGCGAGCTGTTGTTGGTCACCTTTTTGTGGAGTTATGTCACAAAGTGGGGTAAGATGATTTTGTCTAATTATGAGCATGAGTATGACTGTCTAGTTTGTCTGCCATAATGAATTGCTTACAACTGCATAGAGCAATGCACACTAATTAATTAAAAGACTAACTAATTAAAAGAATTGCGTACGTAAAGTCCCCCTGGATAACCCTAGTAAGTTTAAATATCCAAGGGTGCCAAGAGATTGGACTGAACAAAAGTATGGGGGAGTCCCTGAAAAAAATAGTACTCATGTTACTAGGCCCAGCCGGTAATACCTAGTCCTACAAATACATCCCCCTGGTGGGCCCATGAGTAATTTATTTTACCCATTATTCCACACTGTTATGAACAGTTTTCGCCAGTGGGTCCACAGGTTATTTAGTAACTATGGTCTCTCCCCACTGAGTTGTAAACATTAATTTAAAACCATAGCAATTATGTAGTGCAACCATCGCCTTAAATATCTTCTTCAAAATAAATTGAAATAAAATCAAAGTAGAAAATCTATTGCTCGTGAGATCAAGTTTCAGTAGGTCCAAATTTAAAATTTAGCATAAATATTTTTTTCTGGAATCTACTTTGAAATAATCTGCTTTTGATAGATGGGAGTGATAATCACCGAGCTATTTAGTGATCCATTACTGCTAAGGCTACTAAGATACTTGTTCTGAAAAGCATAGATGGATCTGCAATTTTCTCTTTTGTAGCACACTGTAAATGTCAAACAAGTTAGCGAATAGGCTGGCTGGACTGCATCAATTGGCAACATCAGAAATATATTTAATTTTCTGCACAGGTTGAATGAAGTGGAGCTGATTTTTGACAAACGCTCTAGCTTGGTCAATATTTATTTCAAAAATTTAGATAGAGGTGCATGTAAGTATCCCTGGAAGTTATTATTTATACTCAGAAAAGTAATTTGGCATAGAATTAAGGCTTTTTATTTAAGTTTTTGTTGGTCAATAAATTATTTCTTTCTTTCTGCTAAGGGCTCATGCCCACGAGACGGTTTTTACTGGTGCTGAGCCTGGTGTCAAACCGAGAATGGAGATTCTCACGTACACCGCGCGATTGCGGCAGCGAGCAAAGATGTTAAGGGTTATTACAAAATAAAAATTAAATGACTGAAATCAATGTTAAATTGTATTATATAAATAAAATAAAATTAATTATTATTAAATTCATACATAGACAATAAAATATTATATAAATATAATGCAATAAAGTTGAAAATGTTTTTTTTTTATTAATTGTAATTTGCGATCAGTGCATGCCACTATAAGCAAATGTGTTGGATGAACATTGGGAATCTTCGAATCTTATATTAATGAACGCATATTCCAAGTTAAAGAATCAGGAGAAACATCAAATTTTTATGAAATATGTGCTGGAGTACCACAGGGTTCAGTCCTCGGACCGGTATTTTACACTGTCTATACAGCCGACTTACCTGTAATGCAAAATGTAACAACTGCATCATTTGCGGATGACACTGCCATACTTGCAAGTCATAAAAACCCTATTATTGCAACACAACTTTTACAACAGGGATTGGATGAGATTACAAAATGGTTGCAAAAATGGAGAATAAGAGCCAGTTCGTCAAAATCAGTTCACGTCACATTCACACTGAAACAAGGCAATTGTCCTCCAGTACAGTTAGAAAATGTCACTCTTCCTCATCAAAACTGTATACGCTACTTAGGGCTACACATAGATAGGCGTCTTACATGGAAAGAACACATTAAGAAAAAAAGAGAGGAACTTAACATCCGCTACAAGCGAATTTGGTTATTGGGCCGCAACAGCAAATTGTCAATAGATAACAAGTTACTGATATATAAAACTATCCTTAGACCACAGTGGACCTATGGCATACAACTCTGGGGTACTGCTAGCAATTCCAACATCCTTTGCATTCAAAGAGCCCAAAACATGATCCTTCGAACTATTAGCGATGCGCCATGGTATATCACTAATAATGAAATCCATGAACACCTGGAAATGTCAACAGTCAAGGAAGAAATAACCATTGCGACTCAGAAATACCGGGCTAGGCTGGAGACTCACCCGAACATCCTAGCAACACAACTCATGACTCGGAGTTATAACAAACGACTCAAAAGGAAAGACGTCCTCTAAAGAGAATTAAGGAGGAGATGTCCTTACTGAAGGGCACACTCTCACACCCCAATGTTCAAAGTTGAAAATGTGATTTAAGTTTTATAAAGCGGCCGTTTTTTTCTTTGAAAGATGTTTATTAAATTTTACTTTCCAAAATATTCTATGGCCAGTGTTTCGGTTTGCTTCCCTTAAATTAATATTTAAAGTTGTACTAATGCCATTCACTTGGAATAAACTTGTTTAGTTAGATAACTTCATAGCAAATTAATCCAGAACAAACTAAAAAAAACTGAATAAACCCTTAGTAAAGCGTACACGCTTCATGAAAGGTCATACATGCTATAACAAGGTGCAAACAATGATATTGTTTGCACCTTGTTATAGCATGTATGATATCTATGATTAATATTATTAATCATAGATATTTTCAAGATGCGTTATTGCTTTAATAATATTACATATTATAACTTCGCGCAAAGGACATGATAAAATTTTGTATGAGCGACTGCCCTAGCAATGTATAAATATTATACTCATTAATATATAATGTACAATGGCTGAATATTTATAATTTCTATGAAAAACGGCTCAGGAACTTTTGATAAGGTCACAATCTTGAAAATTATGAGATCTCCTACGAAGTCATTACCTTGCTACATTTGATAAAAGATGTTGCACATTATTTACAGAGCATCAATTTCGCATTTTCTTAGAATATTTCCTCCCATTTATCTGATTAACACCTCACAAAAAATATTTTTAAAAGTAAAAATAAATACGATTTCACAGAGACTCAACCAAAAACGCGTCTTAAGCGGGAAAGCGTATTATGCGGGATTGAGAGATAGGGAAATTTCTAATGTAGGTATTGAGGTATAAAATGTACAATATTTAAGAAAAAAAATATGTCTGTATAATATGTATGTCAAAAAATGTTGGGTATTATTATGTATTATAACGTTATTTTAATTAATCACTTATTTTAGTTTTCATTTTCAACATAATTTAACTTTTGCAGTGCGTCTACGCTTTGATTCAAAGAAGTTACATAGCATCTTAAATATTAAGTGCTGATAATGCCTGGGCGTGTGACAAAATCAAAGTTGACACATCTTCTTGATTATTATCACACAGGGCCTCTTTTTGTGTGTTATTTACATTCTCATTGAATTTTATGCTGCTTCAAGAGGTAATATGTGTGTGTTACGTATTGGCGATTTAGGATTATTAAACGGGATGACGAATCGTATTAAGCGTTAAGAAATGTATGAAAACATGTCTCAAGTTGCAGGGACTGACACAAAATGGCGTATTATGCGAGAAATCTTATTAAGCGTGATCGTATTAAACGGGTTCTACTGTAATTTGTTTTCATCGGCCTGACATGAAATCTGTGAAGTTTTATTTTGTCAATTTGCAAAATCAAAGCATTAAATCATACAGCCATCTCTTAAGCCTGATCAGAAAAATAATATATATTATTTTAGGTCTTCAGTGATTTGTTATAATAAAAATAAGGGCCAAATATGTCACAGTTTTTGGGAGTTTTAAATTATAATTGTTTATTTCAATATACTGACAGAAATATTTTTAGTACACATTTATTTTTCATTTATTTAGTAAAACGGAACATTTTCCTTTTGGAACAGACATGGAAGTAATTTTTTTTACTTTTAAATATTTGATTATTTCACGAAAGTTGTATGAGAATTATAAACACGTAATAATTAACAAAAAAAAATATTATAAAGATACGGGCTAGTGCAGAATAATTATACACGTTAGGGGCAGTTTCTTAGCCATGTCCTTTCGCCCATTCTAAATTAATTATTAATGTATACGTAAGTTTCTCATGAAACGCATGCTCTCCGTCTCGCGTGTGACGGCTCGTTGCCGCTCGGACCTACCGTAGTTCTGTACCATTATCCTATCATTATCAATATAATGGTGTCGAATCGACACCAGTGTATTGATAATGGTACAGAACCCCTCGTGCTCGAGTGAAACTGGTACTTGGCCGGGTTTTTTAATTTATTGTATTATTTCAAAATACATTAAAAAGTTTACTTAGTAGAATCATTTAAAAAGATACATGTAGCTAAATATTTTTGCACACATGATTTTTGATACTTATTGTTTCATCATCATCATCATCGACCCATGCTTGTCCACTGCTGGACATAGGTCTCCCCTAATGCACGCCACTGCTCCCGATTTTCTGCCACTCTCATCCAGCTCACGCCAGCCAGCCTACGAATGGCATCATCCCATCTTGTCTCAGGGCGTCTCACACTACGCTTACCGAGTCGCGGTCTCCACTCAAGAACTTTACGGCTCCATCGGCCGTCAGTTCTGCGGCTAATGTGACCAGCCCACTGCCTTTCAGTTTGCTAATTCGGTGGGCTATGTCGGTGACTCTGGTTCTCTGTCGGATTACATCATTTCTGATGCGGTCCTTCAGGGATACTCCGAGCATAGCCCTTTCCATAGCTCTCTGAGCGACTTTAAACCGGTGGACCAGTCCAACCGTGAGTGTCCACGTCTCGGCGCCGTATGTCAACTGGGAGGATGCACTGGTCGAAGTCTTTCGACTTGAGACATTGAGGGATGGGTGACGAGAAGACTTGACGAAGCTTACGAAATGCTGCCCAGCCCAACTGAATTCTTCTATTGGCTTCTCTCTCAAAGTTGTTTCTGCCTAATCGGAGCTACTATTACTTACTATATTACTACTACCACTTATTGTTTATACTAATACTATTATATCGATGGGTCCTATGCATAAGGGCCAAGGTAGCATTTTCTTGCAAGTTTCGTAAGAAACGTGTCGTATGCGCTCTGTCTCGCGTGTAGTGGCCCGTTGCCGCTCGGACTTACGTAGGCCTACTTAGCTGGTTCTGTACCATTATCTTATCATTATCTATACACTGGTGTCGGATACCAGTGTATAGATAATGGTACAAAACCCATCGTGTGCGAGTGAAAGTGGTTTTTAAATTAAGTGAATTATTGAAAAAAATTATTAAAAATTTTACTTTATTATACCTATTCATTATTACTATTTGCATTTCAGCTAGTTTTGACAGTGGATGCGTGGGTGTGATTACTGAAAATGGCGATATAGACTCTGCTGTCGACGTGCTAATAGAGACTACAGTTCGGGTATGTAAATTCTTATTCCCTCCCCATCATGCTTCTTAATGCCATCCGTTTTTCAATACAAAGGACCAAGCACGAGCATAGAAAGATCCACTATCGTATCGTCATATTTTGTATGAAAAGAGCCAGTTTTTTCTTATGTCCTGCTTAGTTTTCATAGAAACTTTGGTCTAGTACCCATTGGACCCTCCTAATTGGACCTTACCTACAAAAAAGTGCCCGTTCGACCACCTATCAAGAACATGGTGCCCATTGGACCCTCAAAGACGTACTTAACGACACAATGAGAGCTATTGGAGCTCTTAACTATTGGCTAATTCTTTTGGAACGGTAAAGTACAGTCGTGTAGTAAAGATTGAAGTAAACATTGTAAAAGATATAAAAACACAAAGGTGTATTTAATCTAATATAAATATTTACATAAAATATAATAATCAAATCACAGATTTTTTACTTTACTTTTAAAGCCAATAGAAATTATTTTTTATCAAATAGCTTAACTAAATTATAAATATGGTTTGTTATATCACACAGATTAAGCACAATTATTATTATTCTAAATATTGATAAAATAAATAAAAGCACAAAGGTTATAAATGTAAGTATTTAAATTTAAAATCAACATATTTATAAAATTCAAAACATCAATCATCAGCAACAAACCATATAATATAATAATCAAATCACAGATGTTGTTATTTTACATTTAAAATGATTTTTTTATCAGATATCTTAACTAAATTATACATACAGTTTTTATATCACTCAGATTTACTATTGAAGCACAATTATTATGTATTCTAAATATTCATAAAATAAAATACCAATGTAATATTTTCATATTACATTTTATAAAAAATGTTTTCTAATCATATTTTTACAATTAACGAGAAATTGCTTATTATAAAAACATAATTTAACTAAAGGATATGGTTCAAAAGTGGTAGTTGGTTTCCGGCAGGGACGAAATATATATAATTTGTAAGTTTGTATAACATGAATAGATACTTTGATTTTTTTATTCATTACCGATTATTTTAAAATCGTGTTTAATAATTAAACAACTTTGTAAGTATGCTGGCCACCCTATCTTAGTAACGTCATATTTTTAGTGCGTGGTGGCTTATAACGTCAACTCAATCACTATGGCAAATGTCCATCAGTCCAGTCATGGATTATTATCAGAATTATTATCACTGCTTTTGTTACACATTGAACATAATATATTTGATGCTTGACAATAAAAAATAGATAAATAAACTTGCCATTTGCAAATCAATTATTAGATAGATTTATGTTTATTTATTAGATATTTAAGACACATATGTGAGTAATTTTTCTAAGCAATGACCTACGGTTGTAAGATTATCTTCTAGCTGCAACATAGGTCATAAATCGGAACGAGACAGCAATATTTCTCTCTCCCTCCCACATATGAGATCGGCGACATCCTTTTGTTTAATCGCAGAGATTGCTTGGGCTTGGAATCTATAACCTTCCTTTCATCAGGTGCTTAAGAGGAGTATAACTGCCGATAAAAACACTCAATCTTCCTTAGAATTTCAGTCTTAGATCAAAAGATGATGTCTTTGCAAAATCCACCGTCAGGTTGCTTAGATTGTCTAGATCCAAGCTGTTGGAACTTGGAATCAATCGAACTTTGTTCGATTTGAAAGGTCTTGTTGATTTGGTGTTGCGCTGTAAGGGTATTTATTGGTCAGTGTACGATCGCCCTATTGAGTGAAAACTTTTTACATTAATGATCATTAATGTAGTTAAATTTAAAAATAATGTAATTAATGATCATTCCTTTAAACGTAAAGCACAAACATATAAAATGATGTTTAAAGAAAAAAAGGTTTTACAATATTTACGAAAATAAGAAGATATTGAAGTATTATCATTGTCACTTGCACCCTTATAACCCATAGAATAAAAATACATGTCAGTAGTGCAATATTTGGTATTGGCTCCTTGTCAATAGGAATAAAATAAAATAAACATTTTTCCTGAAAACTTACATTTTTGTGGTTATCTTTTTATTCTCCGGGGACGGCGAAATATCGTTAATTCGAAGAAAAAAGGTAACCTTATTTCTTTATAATTTGTTTAGGACTACTTACTGGTTGGAGTCAGTACTTATACAGTATTTAGTTAGTGGCTATAAAGCCACTAACTTACGACATTATAAAATGCCTACTATTAATTTTATTTTTGTCTGCAATTTTCTACATGACTGTACTGTGCTTAACAAAACAGTTAATAAGGTCCAACTGGCAGTAGGGTACAATCTTGCAGGTCCAATGGGCACTTAAAAAGAGGTCCAATGGGCACATTGAATATAAAAATTTTAAGGAGGTCCAATGGGCACATTGAATATAAAATGTTTTAAGAAGGTCCAATGGACATCAAAAAAGAGGTCCAATGGGCACTTTTTGCTTTTGGGTCGAATCTTGAGGGTCCAATGGGTACTAGACCGAAACTGGTCTGAAACTTTGACGTTGCGATTAGAGGATTCGATCCCGGTCGATTTTTCTAATCCCGGTATTTCGGGATTTTCTACAATTAATCCCGGGATTCCGGGGATAGTCATGGGATTGTATTGGTAATAGAAAGTGGTAACAAAAAGACAGTAAAACATATAAAAATCAACTTTTTATTTAAAATCTATAGTTCAATCTTTAAAAAACAAAACAAAATCATACTTTCTTCTGATAAAATAAGCAAACTAGGCACTTCTGTAAATAATTTATGCAACAGTTTCAAAAATTATTTACAGAATTGCCTAGTTTGATTATTTTATTTTACAACAAACTTAAAAAAAATCAACTTCTTAAGACTTTTAGATATACTATAAGAAAGACTATAGGTGGTCCTTCATTATTTATTTTGGCCGGTTGAGGAAGATGCCTTAGCAGAATCTACTTTTACGGAATGTTTTGAAGATAGACGAGTATGTAGGCCTTTGGTTGATCCTCCTAAGGTCTTTTAAATAGTTAAGCCATGCTTACATTGTGCTGAACTACCCGCTTTATCGACTTAAAAATTGACTCCAAACTGACGAAAACTTCGTCTTTTTTATGCTTGACATCAAAACTTTCTTTGGATAATGACATTGTTTACTTCTTAAACCTAAACAAAAATGAAAGGAACATTTAAGTCTATGCACAACATAAACACAACTTCTTAGAGCTACAGAAAATAACACTCGTTGTTTGTTGTTTTTTTAATAAATTCATTGATTATCACCAATTAACAAAATAAAACGTTCAATACTTACACGACGTAAATCGGAAGTTTACACACTTTTACACATAATACGGTACCGTTCGTTAGCAAAAATAAATGAAGTCAGCTGTGTAAACAACATGGCCATCAAAACGTCAAATGAAAGTAAGCGCGTTTCGTATTACGGACATTTTTATAGGCTTATATAAAAATACATCAATCCCGAAAATCCCGGATTCATTACATTTGATCCCGAAAATTTCGGGACTAAAATATGACCGGGATCCCGGTGCGAATCCTCTAGTTGCGATACCTTTGTCTGCTGCTGTCACTGTTTGTGTTTGGGCCTCAGTTATTTATATGGCGGATCGCCATTGCGAAAGTTGTTTAACTTTTGCGCTCCGCCTGCTCATTTTTTCTTTTATTTATACCTAAATCAATATATTTTTAGCATTATGAAAAAACCACTAAAGTTTGAATGATGCGTCACAGTTCGCTGCACATCATAATTCATCATAGTCACATAAAATATTTAAGGTTAGGTTTTCTGTTAGGTTAGGTCAGGTTTTCTGTTAGGTATTTTTTTTGAGAGAGATGAATGAGGATGATAGATATTTTAAACAAACCATTTCATATTTCAGCACCCATGGCAGCTGAGACGCATTTTAGTTCAAGAGAATGTATACACAACGTTTAAAAATGCCATGCGCTGGAAGACCCAACAGGATTTAGGAGAACAAACGAAATTCTCCGCAGAATCCTTCTCTTATAAGGGCAAACAATTCTTTCTGGACTACACTCAGACTGACAGAATAAATGAATACATCGCAGTCGAATCTTATAGAACAACTAAAGAATTGTTGACGCTCCTTAATAAATACAACAACTTTTATATGTCATTGTGGACAAGCAGCCTCGTCGAAAGCAACGAAATTACTCATTACGCCTCTTCAGATATTGTTTGGATTAACCATTTCGGCGTATTCGATGGTCCCCCTCAGGCTTCGCAAGCCATATACGGGGCTGTGTTCTTGATATACTGCCCACTAGTGAGATTTTTCGTTAGTAAAAATTGGTCTACGCAGCAGAAGGATTGGTTGAAGCTCTCGTTTCACGAACGCTGCAGCAAGATAAATTTTTGTCTGTCAGAATGCTATGAGAATTTTCCGCAGCTGCATCAGTTTTTGACGTGTTTGAGAGACTGGCAACCCGATTCTGTTTACTCAGATAATGGCAAAACATGCGTGTGCACTACGAAGCCAAGAAATATGATTTGCTATAAGAAGATCAAGCAAGAAGATTCTTCTGGAGTTAAGTCTGTTATTAGGCTTTTGGCACTCGGATATGCTATCATTGACAATTCAGAATCCGATGTAGTTGCTGATTTCACCCGAAAAATGTCAGCCATCGGAGCGCCAATTTTAACGTTCAGCACTTCTGAATTTGAAAATAGTGTTGCCATTGAAGCTGCGGATTTAATAAATGATGACTTTCTTTGCCGCACTAAAGTTGTTTACTCCAATTTCGGCACAATATTCGCCAATTAACAATAATGTTATTTTTATTTAAAAAAAAATAAAAATATGTTTTTTTTTATTATATCTTTATTAAAATATCAGTGATGCATGTATTTGTTGCTTAGATTAAATCAAAAACCCTTTTTAATTTAATCTAAGATTTATTATCATAATTTTAAGTACCCACGGATATTGTTAGCCGACTTAATTCTAAGAAATTTTATTGTATGAGATTACAGTTTGTCGTGAGTCGTGACATGAATGTTTGAGGAACTAACATTATTCATGTGTCTGGCAACACTAAACTTATGTACATCAGCTGTCATCGAGTTTCAGTTGTGGAACAGTTTTCCTTTTGTGTTTTTTATTGTTTGGATTAAACTGTAATAAATTAAGATGAAACAGGTATAAAAATGAGTAAAGTAAATCGGAGTGGCACGCGGGAAGTGATTTTTAAAGTTTTCCAGCGATGTTTCGAAGACTACCAAGCTGGACGAATTTTGTGGGATTTGGATGATGTTTATGGGCGAACAGCATCTATAACGGGTATGTAATCGTGTAACTATTTGTTGGTAATCTGCCTGAAGTTACAAATTTACTCAATTTACAATTTAAATTACGAGAAGATCTTCTCTATGGAGGATACGCTCGACATGACAGTTACTTTCATGACATCTGTTTAAAGTACATTACTGATTGCAGATAAACACACAATAAAAAAATTAAAAAAAAAAACGATTTTGAGACAAAAAAGGCATTGTTTACATTGCACATTTTTAGGTTACATTGACATTGTAAATAGGTAATATTGTAGTACGACCATTTCTTTCGATACGATATTATGGTTCAACTCGGTCAGGTTTTCTACCAATTTTGAATTAATTGCTTCATGTCAATAAGTTATTGTTTCTATTCCGTTACATTATTTTTTTCTTTTTTGCGGGAAAATCAGAGAGTCGGATACTCAGACCAAATAAAAAGTAAAGACGGAGTCTGCCGAACCAAAAAGTGAAGCCGGTTTTTTATGTATGTAGTGCATTAGCCAGTGTTACCATAGTCATATAAAACACCCCAATATTAGAAAAATGTAATAACGTTATTTCATAACGTTATTACATTTTTAATAACGTTATAAAATATTAGAAAAAAATATCGTAAGCTTATTCTCTAAACCTCTCGTGAGCCAAAGGTCATACGCCGTTCTCACCTACAAGTGCCGGACTTCTTTATGGACCGCCCGCCCGCTGGGTGGGAACGATTGCATTATTCTGCCGATTTCTCTGTTATTTTGTAAAAATACCATTCACAAAGGTATATTTGGATTCTCCATAAAATTTTCAATAAAACAGTGTGTACACAAGCGTCATGTCTATAATTTATTTTAAATACATTATGGTAAACTCAGGAAAGATAATAAAAAATCGTTTAAATAGGTAAAATGAGGTGTATTTTCAAAATTTGTAAATTATAAATCCAGGTTTTTGTACATATAGAATGTACTATATATGAATGAATGTATATAATAACTTACCAAATACAATTATAAAATATAACACGCAACAGAAAAAAAAGGGTCGTGTTGCAAGTGTTGATAAAAACAAATGCGAGATCCAAGTGCCTTGATTTATGTGTTGACGTTTAATTATGTTGGATTGATTATTTTACTTTAGTTACAAGTCTCGGATGGAATAGGTTTGTTCATTTTATAGTTTCAAGCACTCGCAACAAGCCACTTGAAATCGCTTACAAATCAGTCATCTCAACTTTATGTCGATAAAACGAAAAGCATATACAAATGTTGATAAACAGTTTCTTTTATTAAAATGTACATGAAATTTTCTATAGAATACACAAAATATAATCACTAGTTCCTATACAAGAACATAATAAAATAAATCCACAAACATCGTGAATTTTGGGTCAAAAAGGCCATTAAAAAGTACAATACAAATAAAATTACAAATATATTATTATTTTACAAATCGTCGCTCTGAAAATGAGTCGAACAAACCACGCTGCGGGAAGCTGGTTGCCACAATGGTGCATTTCTACTCTTGCGAATGACTGCAATCCACTTCTCTTTTAGATCTTGATCTCGATTAGGAAATCTTAAAAAGAACGTATATTAAATAATGTGTATTACATCCCAAAAAATTTATACGAATACATAAAGAAAAAAGATGTTTCGTGTAATTGTTTATCCATGCATTACAATATTCGAATAATATAAAAGTATGCCACACAATGTATATAATAAAATAACGTTACGTTATATTTCACGCTACCCAACAAAAGGGTAAAACTGTAACGAATAATCATGGCAACATTTCGTTCAGGTTTTGTTTACAAAGCGACAACCTCAAATTTGATTTTGATTAATTGAAAATAGCAGTTTATAACTTTACTTACGTATGAAATGTGATTCCATCCTGTTTTTTATTCTTGGAAGATTGGTTTTTACACGTTTTCACTACACAATTCGGCATTTTCTCTAATAAATATTGTTATTTATTATTACGTCACACTCCGCGCGTCGGGATAACTCGACTGAGAAGCCAAGGCGTAGTTTCGTTGCATGCGTGTGCGTGTAACTGTGTATGTACACGGCGAGGCGTAGTTTTATCGGCTTCACTTTTTGGTTCGGCAGACTCCGTCTATACTTTTTATTTGGTCTGAGGTCGGATAGTCAACGAAGGTTTTAAGAATGATGGAAAGTTTGAAACTCCTGGGAAAACAGGCAAGGCCGACCAAAGAAAGAAATGGTCACATAAAGTACCATGGCCAGATGCTTTTAGTGAAGATATCTATCACTATTTTTATTTACTGCACATTTACAAATTGTTTCTCTAAATAAACTTTTTATATAGTATAAAATGCTTTTTAGTATTATTTTCTTAACAAGTGTGTTAAAAAACGTCGTATGATGATAATTGTGTGTATTGATAACGGCTACTAATATTACCTGACGGCTCTGGTCTCAATGGCACCTCAGCGGTAATCACCAACATTACACACTTTTACACTATAAAGTACTATTTTATCTATAATAATTTTATTCTGATTCAATTAAATATGCTTGGCTAAACTTTTTATAAGCATAAGTACCTACTATATATAAAACAGAAACAAAATACGACTGTATAGTGTGTCTTATTAATTACCTATTTTACTTGAATGAACTGCTTTTATCAAAATCATTTTGGTCCGACTGTATAGGGTTGCTACATGCATACTAGTGGCGCCATCATTTAATGTCACGACTTTATAGACAAACTGTAAGTCTGCCATTCGTATATAGTATAAGCAATTATATTTTTGTAATAAATTATCAAATAAATATTTTCATAAAAACTCTAACTTCTCTTTGAGGAATCATATATAAAGGTACATAATGTAGCTACATAACTTTGCACACATGATTATTGATACTTACTGTTTATTGTTACTTATTGTATCTATTATATCGATGGGTCCTATGTATAAGGGCCTAAAAAACAGATAATTATCACGATTTTTTGATGCAGTAAAAGAAGTTATGTGTCGCACTTTTAAACGTATAAGGGCCTAAATGATAGTTCGGGACTTATACGCGATAAGTTCCCGAGAATTTATTTGAATTGTCGGCCAATCTGTCAGTTATACCGGGTTCACACAATGCGATTTTAGTTGACCTACTGCTAAATTACATGCGATTTGAACCGTCTGAACCACAGAACACAGAAAGAAATACCAAAAGAAAGAGAACACATTTAAGGGGACCTGAAATCCCGTTATTATAAAAAAGTTTGATTCTTTATTTCTTTATTTCCCCACGCTTTTTGACCTCAAATCCCGTTATTTATTATAATAACGGGATTTCAGGTCTCCTTAAATGTGTTTTCTTTCTTTTGGTATGGGTTTCATGCTGTTCCGAACACAGCAGAAAACAGTTTCGAAGATATAACATCTCCTTGTCTCAACAAGGAGATGTTATATCTTCGAAACTGTTTTCTGCTGCGGTAATGATACTTTCAAGCTTCTGGATTGGAAAGGACGAGGCATCAACATCAATGGCGAGTACTTAGCACACCTCCGCTTTGCCGATGATGTAGTATGTGTATGTATATGCGTAAGCGTCACCTAACGAAACTTATTAGAAACGCCTGAACTCCTTTGATAGCATGTTATTGACGTACGCGTGGGGCGCTCCATGTGAACAACGCAGCACCGATTAATGCAGCGCTCGCCGTCTGATACCTAGTTCATCTGTGATCGGACAGATGGCGTGCTACAATTTATTTGATTTTTTTTTCATTCCTTTGACAGTATATCTTGTCGCCATATATATTGAGAAAAAGGTACTTTTTGCAAATTAACTAGCGATCCGCCCTCGCTTCGGTGTAGAGCTGAAGTGTAGACTACAGTTTTTGTTCTCAGGCTTGTATTATACACAATGACATTCATCTATGATTCTTCTTATACCTGCATGCAAAGTCTCAGCCCGATCGGTTTAAAATTGACAGTTTCATACAAACTTTCATTCCCTATTTTATCCCCTTGGGGGTAGAATTGATCAAAATCCTTTCTTAGCGGATGCCTACGTCTAATGCAAGTCATGCCAAATTTCAGCCCGATCCGTCCAGTGGTTTGGGCTGTGCTTTGTTAAATCACTATGTCAGTCAGTCAGTCACCTTTGAGTTTTATATATATAGATTGATTAGGTTCATTACCACCACTTCATAAAATTCTCAATTCTGGCCTGCGCAAACTCGCATCATCCTCCTATCATGGGATGATCGCTTCAGATGAAGCTTGTAAGGCTCTTCTGGCCATATGAATGTATTACTGGTGCGTTTTAGTCAGTAAGAGTCTGACATAACCTTGCAGCCGGCTGTAGGGTATCCATGAGGATTTCACAACCGCTCCCCCGCGCCTGGGAGAAATAAAAAAAGAATTGCGCAGACAAGGGATAATTTGTCCGCGAACTTTTTTGTCCACCAAAATAGATCGTCTATAATTACAATTTCTTAAGTATTTACATACTATCATAACATTTTGTTAATTTTGAGAAAAAATTCGAGTAATTCTATACAGAGTGGTTTTCCAGTATCTAAAACCAGAATCTTAGGATGAATAAAATATTGCTTTTCGTAGAACGTCCTAGAAGCGAAGCCAAGTTGGCATTGCCGAAAATATATCGTGCGAATTTTTAGCAATTGGACAATTTCTTTAAGATTGCTTAGCTCCGCGCTGCACAGTTTTTGTGGAAACGCAACCTGATGGTGAGATTTTCAAATGTTACTTTGTACCTATGAAGTTTGTACGTAAGTCATAATAGGTAGGTACTCGAGTAGGACAAGGACTTGACCAATTTTTACTTTGACAAAATTTATTTACTTTTAAGTTTTCTTGGGCTACAAATGCTAGAAAATAGGCATTAAATAAAATATAAACAAGTTATGGTATGAGTATTATATTGCCTGACGTTGTGGTTTTATATGTCTGATGCAAGTCCATTAGACATAACTAAGTATAGAACCACAATAACCAAATTTAAAAAGTTAATGAACTATGAATGGAATCTTATACCTAATTATGAATCTAGCTTATAATGTTACAAACTCAACGTAGAGAACAAAAACGGTGAAGTATTGAAAAAGTCTCATTAGAAGCCTTTTTCTGAAGATAAAGATTTACAAAAAGAAAATGTTAGTTACAATGCCGTGTTTAATAAATTGGCAGAGTCAAGAGGACATCGTAATAAAATTCTACGTGCACAAATCGAAAATCGGCTTTATTTGTGAGGTCTAAAGCCGTTTTTTGTTTGGCATATTGTTCTCTTGGCGAGAAATGTGCAGGCGCATCAAGTTAAGTCAGTGTTACTCAGGCGCGTCGGTAGTGTGGACGAACGACTAAGACGCGCGAATTTTCCTCTTAGAGCGGTAAATTCAAATAAAGAATCGTGCTTCAACTTTTTTAAAAGAAAACCCTGGTTGTGCTTTTCAAGTCTGTGCTTCACAGTGCTGTGTATTTTTATTTATTAATGTTTTAATATAGTGCATTCTAGAAACAGGTTTTAATGTAAGTAACGTACATTTATTTTCGTACCAAATTAAATATTTTTATTACATCTAAATATCGAAACAAGAAAGTATGTTCCCTGTTGATAGGGACTTACATGAAATTTTACCTACTCTACGTAGAATCCTTTATTTCGCTCTGGATTCAAAAAACACGCTTTTAAAATAGTTCTTTAAATAAATAAATATTTTCAACACTCACACCAATTAGCCTAGCCCCAAAGTAAGCACTATAAGGCTTGTGTTATGGGATACTAGGGTAACGGATAGAATACATATACTGTACATATATAAGTATATTTTAATAGAAATACATATTAAACATCCATGACTGGAGTACAAATGCTCGTATTCATCAACCAAACATCTGCCCCCACCGGGATTTGAACACGGGGCCTCCCGATTCGGCGACACTATGAAACCCGGCGTACAAACCACTCGGCCACGGAGATCGTTCTTTGCTCCCTTAATCAACTATTTTAACATAAGACTAGTACGTAACGGCATTCGATATAAAAAGATTTTTATGAAATTAAATACGTTGATAGATATCTATTAAGTACCTCATATACAAAGTTTAATTAATTTTCTGTGGACGTGACATTAAGGTGCATATATATTTACGAAATAATGTCACATGCCGGCTATTCGACATTATTATAGTATTAAAACCTCGTTAGGTAACTAACTAGAGAGAAATATCCGTGAGTCACTTTTAAGTCTTAATTATATAGTTAGGTCTATAGTGGCGTCGATTCTGGCATGATTCTCTAAACTTAAAACTAAATTTAACATCAGTCTCTCCATTTCATTCTGTATAGAGAGTGGCAAGGATGTACTGTTGTCAAATTTAAGTTTAGGTTTAGAGAGTCATGCCAGAATCGACACCAATATCAGGCTAATTGCAATAAATTCGAAATTACCTTAAAGCAGCTATACTCTAAGTGTGTTCCGCGGAACCCTAGGGTTCCGTGATACCTCTGTCGGGGTTCCGCAAGAATTTAGAAATAAAAAAATCAAAACACCTCTCTCTGGTCGCTCCGCGGCTGTGCGGACTCCGCGGCCGCGCGGAGACAAAACGCTATGAATGTTATTTATTTATTTATTTGTATTTGTATAAGCTTGTGTTACATTAGCTGGTACAATATCTCATAAGTTTGGTCTCAACAATTTTATACTTGTACAACGCGTTCGCTCTAAGTTTGCCGGTCTGTGGAATGCGCGTACCCTCCCCCACGTGACAACAAAACTTATAATGTGTCATAGTTTTACCCAAATATCTAACGTACACAATTTTTATTGTTACAATTAAATAAAAAATTTCGAACGTCATACACTCATACCTATCGCCAGCGGCAAACTTAAAACGAGCGGGTAGTATACTTGTAAGCGCTCAGTCTCTTTGATAAAAGCCGCCTCTGAATTAGACGCTATAGTTGTCAACTAGCGACTTTCGTCTCTAACTTCAAAGGATAAAGTCGATATTGTTTACAACGCTATTTTTAAATTTCTGTTTTTATTTTTGCTTTTTGTTTATCAAAGGTGCCGACTCGAGTATTTTCGAGAATATTTGAGATCGAGTCTAGGACTAAGTATAAAAGCGGCGATCGCGCGTTGGCGTCGTCAGTTGATGATTAGCGTTCGGAGCGATAAGTTACTACCTACTTACAAGCTCGCTAGCGAGAAACTGGTGTTCATTGTTTTACTGCCTGCTGTATTCTGTTGTCTCAGTTTTATACATTTCTTCCCTGTAGGTTCTAAATTTAGTCTCTTATACGCAGTAACGATTGTGCATTATTTAAACCCCACTATCCTGACTTGTAACATTATAAATAAAGAAGAATGGAACGTTGGCTTAAAGGTGTTAAACGTGTTCCAACAACATCTTCTAATGACGCTGAATGTTCAAAAGCAATGCGCGCGGAGAATTTAGCAATCACCGATCCAGAAGATGATGCCACGAGTGCCACGACGTCAAGCTCGACGGTTTCAAAGACGAAAAAAAGGAAGTATGATGAATCTTATATCAGTTTCGGATTTGTTGATTCCAACGGCTCACCTCTCTGCATGCTCTGTAGTAAACTGCTTCCTAATAGTTCCATGGCACCTGCCAAATTGCGTCGACATTTAGAAACCGTACACCCCGAGACTAAAGACAAGAATAAAGAATTTTTTGTTCGCAAAAAAGATCAGTTATTAGAAAGTCAAAAAAATATGATGCATGTAACACAAACTACCAACGAAAAGGCCACGGAGGCATCATACTTAGTTAGCTATCGCATTGCACAAGCAGGTGAAGCGCACACTATCGCTGAGAAATTAATAAAACCATGTGTATTAGACATAACAAAATGTATGCTTGATGAAAAATCTGCAAAGCATCTTTCTACTGTTCCGCTATCAAACGATACTGTTTCACGACGAATCCATGATCTGGCAAGCTACGTCAAACAAGAACTAGTTACACGTCTACAAAATACACGATTCGCTTTGCAAATGGACGAGTCGACTGATGTCGCTGGTTTGGCTATCCTGCTGGTTATTGTGAGATATCCATATAAAAGTTCTTTTGAAGAAGACATGCTTATGTGTTCATCGCTGCTTACAAACACTACCGGGGAAGAAATTTTTAATAAAATAAATATATTTTTTGAAGAACATAATCTCAGTTGGAACAATTGCATTGACATTTGTACAGATGGGGCCAAGGCGATGACAGGTAAAACAGCAGGAGCAGTGTCACGAATGAAAAATAAAGCGCCTAATTGTAGTTCCAGTCATTGTATTCTGCATAGACAAGCACTTGCGATGAAGCAAATGCCGTCTAATCTAAAATTAGTTATGGATGAAGCGGTAAAAATAATTAATTTTATCAAATCACGACCACTACAATCCCGATTGTTCTCATTATTGTGTGAAGATTATGGCAGCAAACATAAAACACTGCTGCTCCATACAGAAGTGCGATGGCTGTCTCGGGGAAAAACTTTAACAAGGCTATTTGAACTTAGAGCCGAGTTACAAATGTTTCTTTCAGCAGATACTTCTTTTAATTTGAAGGACCGTTTGTATGATAAAACTTGGTTGTTCCGATTGTCTTTTATGGCGGATATCTTTCAAAAACTTAACGAATTAAATTTATCATTGCAAGGTAAACAGACAACAGTGTTTCAGGCCTATAATAAAATAACTACTTTTAAAAGAAAATTAGATTTTTGGATCATTTGCATTGGTAAGAAAGAAATAGAAAGTTTTACGTTACTCACTGAGTTTGTTAGCGAAAACGACTCAGAAATGTTTGAAGATAATGTGTTTGAAGAATTGGTCCAATATCTCAGTTCGATGCGCGCATCTTTTGAAAAGTATTTTCCCGAAGAACACAATACAAAAATTAAAGTGAACTCCTGGATTCATAATCCTTTTTTACCCAACTTGGAAAAGCCTGAAAACATGTCAAATGAGATATATGAATCTCTTTTAGAAATGTCATCAGACACAAGTATGGAGTCATTGTTCAAAACGACGCCTCTTAATGATTTTTGGTGCAGAATCCAAGATGAATATGCAATGCTTGGCCAAATGGCTCTGGATATTCTTCTCCCGTTCCCAACTACATATTTGTGCGAAACAGGATTCTCTACCTACGCAGCCACGAAAACAAAATATCGCAATAGACTGGACGCCGAAGCTGATATGAGACTCCAACTTTCTTCCATCAAACCTGATATCAAGCAATTGATGAAAAATAAAAAACAGTTTCATACCTCCCACTAGTTAGATTTTTTCTTTTTTAATGTTTTCTATTATTGTCCTTACCAAGTGGTGAAGTAAATAATAATTAGTAACGGATACATTGTACTTTTATTATGCTGATTAATATAGAATACACTTATAAAAATAATTGTTTTATTGTAGGGTTCCATCAAGTATTTTGCTTCCCAAAAGGGTTCCGTCATTTAAAAAGTTTGAGAACCACTGCCTTAAAGTATAATTCGAACCCAGTATAGGCTTAATCTGGATACTGTGACTGGCAATTGGTTAAAAAAGAAAACATCTAATATATAAAATTCTCGTGTCACGGTGTGCGTAATTGAACTACTCCGAAACGTTGCCACGGATTTTAGTGAAATTTTATATGCATATTCAGTAGGTTTGAGAATCGGACAACATTTATTTTTCATCCCCCTAAACGTTAAGGGAGGTCCACCCTTAAATATATTTTTTTTGGATAAAAATTTATTGTTTTTTTTAAGATACATCGTCCATAAATACATACAACCCTAAATTTTCACCCTTCTACCACCAACCTCTATTTTATATGGCGGTACGAAGTTCGCTGGGATAGCTAGTAATTGTATAATATCTAGTGTAACTTCGTCTTTTATTTATATTATGTATATTGGTGTTATTTTGATTTATTCAATATTTATAACAAAATCAACTCAAAAGTAACTCAGTAATAGGCCCGATACTGGCATGACTCTCTAATCCTAAAATTAAATTGGAAGAAAGAAAGAAAAAAAATATTTCTTTTTTATTTGTAATAAATAATAATGATTTTTACTTACAGAATAAAAAAGGGGAGACAGTTTTTAAATTTAGTTTTAAGATAATCATGCCAGAATCATGTACCCTATTGTCACAGCTTTTATACTAAAAATTTTAGTAATATCTTGGCAAGATTTCGACGAGTGAACTTGTATTACGATTACTATTTGCAATGCCTGAGATTTTGATTTACCTACTAAATTTATCCTTTGATAGGATCCTTACCTATACCAATTTAACCCCAGAAAGGATGAACTGAAACAGTACTTGCACTCCAAGTGAGACTTAAATTCAGCTCACTGAAACCTGTTAAATTATAAATAGGTAGATATTCGTTCAAATAAACCCTAAGAAACATTAGAATAATATGTGACATTCTAATTTTATTCTACTTATATAAACTAAAAATAAACTTACTGAAAACTCGGCTGTATCCAATTACCTTTGTTTTTC